ATTTTTGAAAACTATTTTCTTAACGGCGACCATACTTTGTTTAAGATTCCATCTTTGTTTCATTTGCTAACTTGAAATAATTCAAAATAGTAGCGTAGAAAAAAGAACTAAATTGAACCTATTTACGGAACGTGTGCTGTCGCACAGAAGATCCGAAAGTCAGACAAGACTGCTCGTATCAGGGCGAAGCCCTGAATATTCTGACTGCCTTTTGAGTTTTATGGAGCAGCAGTAATAACATCAAAAAATTAAATGAAATGAAAAAAAAAATGAAAATTTTTTTTCTAAAATTTGAAATTTTTTAATGAAAATAATCCCCCCACACGCCATATAAAGTACAAAAAGAGAGATTTTGTTCCTTGTAACAAATCAATTATTGCAAATAAGCTTCGTTCAACTAATTTGGAACGATTTATAAGACGGATTAAATCTCCGCTTACTCGTTAATAGCGCGAATTATATCGCGCGTTATTTGTCCCAAATTGGTCAAAATGGCCAAAATGGCAATCTTTAAACCCTCATAATTTTACGAAAAATGATCACAGGTGAAATATCTTTTCAAATTTAAGCTCAGGACAACAATACCTTTTGAATGATACAAAAAAATTCCGTCAAAAATGGCCAGTTAAAAAGTCGAAATTTGTCTGAAAAAAAAACCCACCCGAGCACAAATATTCCGTTACTTTCGTATCGAAAGTCGGAACAAAAAGGAGCGCAAACAAAGGAGGTTTGTTTTAAAAAGCCATTCACAATTATGCAGAGTTTAATTGGTTGCAGAAATTAAACATTAATCAAAGTGATTCTTTTGATAGTAAGGCATGTAGTTGACTTTCAAATTTTAATTCTGAGATTCAACTCCATCAGTTTTATTCGAATGTTGGTGAGTTCATTTATTCAAATTATGTGTGTCGTCTTGGGGAATTTGACTGTTTAGACTCAATATATCCCTTCTCTATTGTCCGCTGAGTCTCTTCCCTAAATACCAGAACCAGCAAAGGGGTGAGCTATGATTTGGCGACAATCCCTTCGGTTGAAAGGTTGAATTTGGGGGTCGATCGATGTACTACACTGGGTTGCGTCCCCTTTACTCAATTGCTCTCGACTGTTCTTTTCCTCGGAAAGAATCGCAAGAAACTGGATAGTAATTGAATTCAGAAGTAAATATATAAATCGCTGAGTATAAGGACCGCTAAGTGGCCTGAATACAATTTATTAAGTATCAATGAATTTAATTTGCGATAAGTTCCGGAAAGCTGCCTCTTGCAGTTCACTTTACAAACAATTCTAAACAAGTCTTCAACTTTGCTTCGCAAAGTTTTGCTAAAAATCTCGCGTGGAGAACTCACTTTAAAATTTTCACGAGTCAATCTCAGGACCCGTCTGAATTCTATAAGTCTCAATCTTGTTCTCTAACTCTGAACGAGAACCAACTACTCTCAATCGTAGTTATCACTGTTCTGTCCAGTTCGGTGGTTGTACCTTAATCGCGTATCGTTATCTTTATTTACTTTCGGTTCGGTCAGAGGCGTACCGTTTCCTATCCCTACTAACATTCACTTAACTAGCTGCCACTCTGGACTTATCAGCTGAATCAACCATTAGGTCAGCTTTAATTAAACATCGGGGTGGCACTTAGTTAATCAGGACATAGTGAGCAAACATTGGGCTCAACTACAAAATCAGCTCCCAATCGTATTTGACAAATGACCCCTTGCATGATTTTATTTTAGTTCTTCCTAACTTGTTCCCTTTCCTATGAAATGGGTAGTTCTCACAAAACCGGGAATTTAACTTCCGTGATACTTGAAAAGTTTCCATTTTTGGTCATTTTTAATTTTGTTCCCCTAAGTCCAAGGGCTGGGTAATTCCCTTCCCCGTGTCCGTTTTGATCCGAAAAAACACCACAAGAATTCATTTAGTATGCTAGGGCTGTTCATAAAATCTTCATCCCGAAATTCCCATTTCCCCCCATAGATGTTCCCAATTTTTTTTCCGGGGCTGTATTTTTACTTGTTTGCCGTTCTTATCGAAAGTCCAAGTGGAGTGGGTTAAGCTGACCCCAATGTTTGCTAATTACAGAAAATCACTTTCGCTCGGGTACAAAGGTCAAAACTAAAATTCTCGATTTAGGGGCCTCCCCTTACCTCCCCAGGTGGGTAGGTACCCCTTACGGGTCCTTGCAATGCTAATATATCGCTTTTCAGGGGGTTCCGGGGGTCTTGGGGTCAAAAATGCCAAATGACCTCTTAGAGGTCATCCAAGGTCAAATGAGGTCAAACTCATCCAAACGTCTAACTTTCGATGGGAGATCATTCCCACTAAGTTTCATTCATATCGGACCATCCATTCCCATATTTTCGAAAAAATCGGGTCAATTAACACTTCTCCCTAAAATTGCCATTTTCACCCCGTAGGAAGTTCCGGAGAGGATTGGGTCACTAGGGGTCCCCCTAATGAGTTGAGCCCTTCTTCACATTGGTGCATTAAAATCACAAGTCAATTATCACTATCAGGTGTTAATAGCCTAATTCATTTTTCAAGTGCTAATAGCTTCCGACGTAGCCGCCGGATTAGGTCCAAACATTAATACCTTATAGGTCTTCTCCCAACCTACCATTCCCCCAAGTTTCAGCCTCCTAGCATTATCAGGGGTCGAGAAATAACAAAAAGTGGGTTTTGTTTACATAGGGCGTAAAACCGGAAGTAATAACCGGATGCGTTCAAAATCCCGGTGGTGAACTTTCCTTGCCTAGGGCTACAACATATTGCAATATGAAGTCATTCTGACCATTAGTTACCGGTTCACAAAAGGTGCTAATTGCATTTTCGGAAATCATTATCACTCGCCCCCCAGGAGTCCCAGGGGTCTGGAAATTTGCATGCCCGCCTAAAATCATCTCTATTAGTCACCCACCAATTTTCATAAAGATCGAACTAGTGGTTCCCAATCCGGGGGGGGGGGGGGTTCCAGAATTTGCGCGCTTTTCCAATTCTTCGCCCTAGAGGTCAAATTCAAGGTGCAAAGTCCGATTACGGTTGTTTTCTCTCAAACTAAGCTTATCTATCACTGAATTTCATTGCTACAAGTTCATAGAGTCGGTTTACGTTGAAATCAAATTTCGCAATTTTCAACCATTTTCATCAGGAATTACCAATCCTACATTGTGCATTTGTCATAAAAACTTCACTTCAGCATTCCTGTTATTAAGACTCCTCAAAAATGATTGAGGAGTTTTAAGGAAGCCAAAAACCACGCAATTATTAATTGGTTTTTTAATTCTTTACTCATGCTAAACTGTTTCATGAAGTTCAGATTGTCATGAAGTTAGTGACACAATTTTTTTTCAATTTTATAGAGTGTCTAGGCTCTCCATAGCTTCCCATCCTCATATAAGCTTGGTAGGATTCATTAAGAAGATAATATATTACTATGAGTCATAATATCCGAAAAAATCACGCTATTATTTTTATTGAAAGTAAGTGCGAGCAATTGCTTTCGGACAAGACAATTAAAATGGATTTGATTGATTTTTTGAGAAGCAGCTTCATTGATGATAATAAGAATGCTGCTCATTTGGTGGAAAAAAGTAAGCATATTGTAGGCGATTTAATGGTATATGTATTGGATAACTAACATTTTTCTTATTGATGGTCTCCAAAATTTTACTTGAATCTTAAAAATTGAAGTTTTTTTGAAAACATTTCTGACATTACTAAGTTTGAAGAACGAGTGCATGCCGGAAAAAAAACCATTTACAAAGTCGAAAGCCAGAATTTTCCTTTATTGAATCCGTTTTTACCTGACCATTAGTTAGCAGACTAGCGCCATAGTATAAAGCTGCAATAATCATATCGAAAATCAGAAAAACAAAGCACACCACCCGCTGATGCAAGAAACGTAAAACTGTCTCACAATATTAGTTTTTTGTTGAACTCTGAGGGCGCATTTACATTAGGATTTCTGATTACTTTCTTCTAAATTTATATTTAGTGTTACAGAAGCAATCACCTGAAGGCAGCATTATTAACAAATTTTTTTACATTCTCTAAACGCTAGATTAAAATTATGAAATCCTGAGCAGACAGATTTCCTTAACGATTGGAAATAGTCGATCTCGATTATACCATTGCAAAAACCAGTAATTTACTAAAAATCAAATGAGAAAAAAGAAAGTCTCAGATCCGATATTGCCCCAAGGAAAAGCACAAACGTATCCGTCCATGAGAAAATAGATAGCGTGTACTTGCAGACAGTGGTAATGATCAGAAGTTACTTTGTTAGAATGCCCAATCCAGTCGATCTCATTCACTTGCCGCTTTTTGCGTGTTCATTGATAGTGGCATTGTTAACATTGATGAAAAATGATGAGTTTTATCTAAAATGATGTGCGTATTTTTGTTCACGAGTTATCTTTTTTTCTCCAATACATTGCATCCTTTATTTTTGTTTTTCGTAAATACGTCCATACTTTATTTTAAATTTCATTTTTATTTAACATGTGACTTTTTGAGTTTCTATACGATAATTATTTAAAAGTTTACCCTTGATAAATGGACTAAATTAAACTTGTTTTTGAAACATCAGCTGTTGGACAAAAGATGTAAAAGCCCAAAAATACGCTCATTCAAAAGTCTTATCTGGTAAAAGCGAGCTTCAAATGTCATTCAATCACTTTCATCTATTTTTCCAACTCTTTATGTTTGCGGGCCCCAGTGATCGCACTTTTTGTTCTTCTACCATAGAAACCTCACTGCAGCCTTCCTATCAGTAAGGCGCAAAACGTCTAAGAATTTTATGAAAGTCGGAAACTCTGTAAAACTACCAACTGGTTTTTAATGATTTCACACATGCCAGAAAGCCTTCATGAAATTCAGATCAGTCGTGAAGTTAGCTTTTCTTCTGAACAAAAATTTCTCAAGGTCATAAAGTCTCGGGAATCTTTATAGTTTCACATCGTCTAATCTGTTTCATTTTATAGCAACTGTCGGATACTGTCAGTTTTCATTTCACAATTTTGCCTTTTGGAAATAAACACTAATGAGTCAAAACATCAATTTAAAGTTGTTTTTAATTTGGTCCACAATGAGTGCGATCAACTGTATCTGGCCGAAGCAATCAAAAATAGATTTGTCTGACTTTTTGAGAAGCAGTTTCACTGATGATGATTTGAACGCTACTGAGCTGATAGAAGAAGATGATAACATTGTGAGCAACTTGATAGTGCAAGCATCCGACAAATGAAAAGGCATTTTCATTGATTGATGGTGCAAAATATTCAAAAATGCATTTTATACTAAAAAAAAACAAAAGCAGTAACTTTTCAACCTTCAGAAATAAAGTTCTTTTGAAAAACTTACCCAAATTACTAACTTCAAAGTGGGAGCGCGGGTTTTTCGGCGTTTTTGGGATTGTTCGAGAAAAGTGCTCAAAAACGGAATTTTTGGATTTTGCAAAATCTCGCATTTTCGCAAATTTTTCCATAGATGAGATCTTTTTTAACATATTAACTTGCTCAAAAAATAGCACTCGATCGGAACCAGGGGCGGATTTAGGGGGGTAGGGGGGCGGACCCCTCCCTCTCAAGGGTTCCACCCCCTGCCGACCCAAAGGGTCCCCCTTTGTACTATTTTGAGATATCCATATTTGATGACGTACCCTAAAATTTTTCTAAAGGCGCCTTGGGCACCAATATATACTTATTTTGAGGGGGGAGCGCGCGCCAAAAAACGCCCTTTTTTTGGTCAAATTTTTCCAAAAAGTGCCTAAAAACGCCTTTTTTTTTTGCTTTTTTTGGCCTGTTTTTCAAAATTTTGCCTGCGGCGCAAACTTTTTTTAACCAAAGCTGGGTCTTTTTAATGCTTTGGGAGAACTCGGAAATTCACTTTGCTCGACCTAAAAAACAAAAAGGTCGACAAAATTATCGAAAATTTTTTGAAAATCCGCCCCCCCCCCCCTCGAAAAAAAAAACAGTTTTGAAAACTAAGCTCTGTTTGGTTGACAAAATTTTCGCTGTAAATTTTACTATAAATAAAGTCGGATGTTTCAAACGTATTCCAATTTCCAGCAACTTCGCGGTGAATCTGATTGGTTAAGCTCAGATTCCAACAAAAACTCTGATTGGATGGGCTCTCAACCCCTCCGAGCTTCATATCAATCTGAATTGTCTATCATAAACGGACACACGTCACGTGACAGGGACTTCTACGTGCAGTTGAAGAAGATAGACAAGGAGGGGTCTGCATATGTGTGTGGGGGAAGTGTGATTGGAGAGAGGTGGGTGCTGACTGCCGCTCACTGTCTCAGAAACGCAGGTGGATTAAATTAAGTAGTAGTTAAATGCAATAATCTTTTGACTCTCTTTAACTACCCCCTCCCCCCATCTGCCCTTTGCGTATCTATTGGAGAATATCGATCCCTATAAAGGAATTATTGAACGGCGGAGCATACGTAAATTTCTTACCAACAGACCAACCCTCCTTTGCAAGGATGGAGTAATGCTAAGAGATCCAATCACTTTATTGCATCAAAAAAATTCTATTAATTGGTTTATTTCTTAAATTTCGTTGCGCTTTTTATTTCGATACCTTCACGAAGACTTTTTATGCTTAGCGTATTATTTAGAAATTGTATAGTAGCAATCAGAAGAGAATTTAGGGGAAGGTTAGGCGGGGGGCCAAAATGTACTAATTTTAAAGAAAAGCGCGCGCCAAAAAAGCGCATTTTTTGGACAACAGACAACAATTTCCTAAAAGAGCCTAAAAACGCGTTTTTTGGCTTGTTTTTTTTTCAAAACTTTGCCTGCTGCGCAAACAATTTGTCAAAATGGGGTCCTTATAGTGATTTGGGAGATCCCCACCTCTCCATGAATTCCTGGAACCGCCCCTGGTAGCGATGATTTTTTTTACCATAGGGCTCAGTGGCGGATCTTGGATTTTCTCGAGGGGGGATTCTCTTTTTCTCGAGGGGAAATCCTTTTCTTAGGTCGACTAAATTGATTTTCTGAGCTCTCCTAAATCTCTATAAAAACCCCATTTTGACCAAATTTTCTGCACCACAGGCAAAGTTTTGAAAAAACAGGCCAAAAAAGGCATTTATAGGCAATTTTTGGAAAAGTTTGACCAAAAAATTGCGTTTTTTCGGCGCACACTCCCCCTCAAAATTAGCATAAATTGGCGCTGCAGGTGCCTTTAGAAAAATTTTAGGGTCCGGCACAAAAATTCATATCTAAAAATAGTAAAAAGGGGGACCCTTTGGGTGGGCAGGGGGTCTTTGTATCTAGCTATTTCTCTCAGAATAATACGAGTTTAGCGAGTGTGAGAAGGCCAGCCGAAATATAAACCAACTGAAACGTTACATCATATGAATGAAATTTGCATAAGTTTCCTAACTGTTAAATAATTGTTACATAACTAGTATTACATAAGTAGTATTTTCGGCTGGTTGGTACCTCGGCTGGCTTATACTTCGGCAGGCTTATGTACCACCAAATTTTGCAAATAATTTTTAAAATATTGCCTAATGAAAAATTTAAAAATTGTCATTGAAAAATGAAAGTTGAGTTTCAGTGAAAATCTACGTCAAAGTCGGAGACTTCACGAGAGATGGAAGTAGAAAAACATTTATCGAGGCCTCCAAAATCATTCCTCACAAATAGTTAGTCATATTTTAATCTAGCCTATTTCTAATTGATTTTGAATATATTTCCACTTTAAAGCTTCACAAACAGAGCTTCAAGAAAATGTGTTTCGTGACATTGAAAGTTATAATCACCTGATATTAATTGTTTCTATGACAAGTTTAATCAGAAAAGATACAAATGTTTATGCCAGACGTAATGGGCATTCAAAAAAAATTCAAAACGGAAAGCGCCTAAAACGTTTGTTTACACTTAGCTTTAAAAAAAATTCAAAATCAAAAATTAAAAAAAAGCGTTTTCCGTTTTGAATTTTAAAAAAATTCGAAACGGATAATACCTGAAACGTTTTTACACTTAGCTTTTTGGTCGCTAGAGCCAAATTAGTTCTCAATAGTTTAATGTGAAGTTTTGCTCCAAAATGTGAGATGAGGTTTATAAGACCTAAAACACGGTACTTTTTGAACCTCTAAATTGAAGAATTTGTCGTCGTTTTGCTTAAAAAGCAAAGGATCAAAAATTTCATGTAATTTATATACAGTTACGGAAGAGGAGAGACTAAATATCAATATGACATCGGGCTCATCAAAACTGAGGAGTCACTGTCCCGTGCACGAATAATCCCCCTCTGTCGGAAGAGATACCAACGTAACAGTGTGAGTCTGGGGGTATGTGGCATGGGATCCACAAGCACCAACAAAGATGAAAAGGCAACTCCAAAGGTTCTCATGGAGACCTTCTTGCATGAGAGGTAAGTCCTGATGATGATGTTTTCCAATACGAAGACAGTTTGAGCTTTTTATTGAGCAACTCTTTCGATAGCAAAAAAACGAGCATTGAGGAGTTTTTAATACTACAACGAACAGCAGCACTTGTCACGAGGCTGCAGTTCATATTAGGCGACATTATTAAATAACTCCACGATCAAGTTTTTGTGATATGTGTTTATAGTTTGCTTTGAATAATATATGTATCGTTTTTTCAGTTTTCGAATTAGAGCAAAATCCAAAATTTTCATATTCCAAAATAGAAAAATGTTTAATATACTCTTCGGATAAACCGCTTTAGATCCAGCTGTCCCGGAGACTTCTTCGTTTGTACCCATGGAGACCATGACGAAAACCAAACAGGCTCATGCAAGGGCGACTCAGGTGGTCCACTTTATGTCATGAACAGGTATGATGGATGAATTGATCCATAACATTTAAAAGCAAATCCGAAACCTTTCTTTTTGAAAAATTTCTGAATTGAACAATAAGTTTTTTCTCCAAAAAATATAATAATTTTATTTTCAAGCCAAAACTTAAAAGCATCCACTCTATGGCATTCACCTGTCGGGTGGCATCTCCATAAGCAAAATCTATTCGTCGACTTTTTGAAACTTAGATCATATAGACAAAAAGCCGCAAAATTTCTTCAAATATCACAAAATTGGACTTTATAAGTAGCAGTTTTTGACCTACTGTACGATATTGTGTCGTGGGCTCAAGAATTTTAATAGATAATTTACTCATAATGTTTTTTCGTGAAGATTGCAAATATGGGTTAATCAAGTTCGCAAAACTTATTTTTTTTTGTTAACACGTAGCTTAAGCAGCAATTTAATCCGGTTCAGAAATAATTCCAAACTGAATGTTGCAACCTTTCCCACGTTTTACTTGACCTTGCATGTGGGAACGGCTTGAAAAGAAAAGATTTTTTTAAACGAATTTTGTTAGCCAAAACTGCGTCAGATACGACTGCTTCAGTTAGCCAAAACTGCGTCAATTAGCCAAAGCTGTTTCGCCCTGATAGGAGCAGTCTTGTTTTTTTTAAAAGATTTTTGGTTAAAACGAGAAAAAAAAACATAAAAGACAGTTTCTAGCCTAAAGACTACCGGCATTTCTAAAGATTACCGGCGTTCATTGAATAAACTTAAAATCATTGATTAAAGTTTTTTATTGGCTCAATTAACTTTGAGAATGAATACGTTGATAATAATTGTTCTTAACTTTTGAAAAATGTGGAGAAATTTTGTTTTTAGTTTTTTCTTTTTTTTTGATTTTCACGCAAAATCAGGTACCACAAATAACTATCGGAGTGGGTTGAGTGATATATCATATTGAGTACTTTTCATGCGTGATTCTAACAACTTTAGAAAGTTTTGAAAAATTCTCTTATTGTCGAGAAAAAAATGGTATGAAATTTTTTTATTTTTAGTCTAATTTCTAGCTAATGAAGCTAATGAAGCTTACAATTTGAAATTCTGATTTTTTGGTTTTTTTAGTAATTTTTTTACAGAAACTGTTTGGCAATTGAACTATTCGACAATGAAGGTCAAATAAAACTGATTTTTTTTGTTCAGACTTTATTGTCACAGCACACAGAAAAACACGCCACTAATTAGAAAAAAAATTGGTGTCTTTTTAAGACTATGATCGGAACATTCTGTGTTAATTGCACAGTAGCCGGCTATCCTTGTTTATTACTGTGCTACTAACTGAACAACTTCATACAGGTATGGCCAGCCCTACTGTGTGTATGGGGCAGTGAGTCATGGCTTCAACAAGGACGACAAAAAGTGCATATCCGAGTCAGTGTTCGTGAGTGTTCCCTATTACTACGAGTGGATACGAAACGTTATGAATAGATATTGACAAAGCACTTCATCGAGACTGTGTCATTTTTATTTCAGTAATCATATCATATCTACACACTTGATTACAAATAATGATGAAATTCAAATGTTTCAAAACTTGGAGCACAAACTTGATCGCAAAATTGAACGTTGCTAAAAACATTTTTCGTTTTTGAGCGTAGAAATCCACGCATAATTTAACAGAAAACTTAATTTTAGATGCCATAGAACATGGTGTGAACTGAATTGATATGAATGGACTCGGTATGAAGACATTTCCGTTGCTTTCATATAATCTGAGGTGACTTTCATTTTAAAGTAAACACAAATTAATTGACGTTAGTAGGATTATGGCAATCTGGAAAACTTCGAAGAATTAGTGGAGTTTTTGTGCTCTAGGTGTTTTTTCCAGACAAACTTCCATTCCGTAAAAAAGATGTTTGAAGGAAACTTTATTTACAATTTGAATGATATTGAAGACCATTAGGACTCAAAAAAAGATAATTGCTTCGCCTGTGATTGTTTTTTGCAAGGATACAACGTTTTGAATTTGGAACCACTCGGCAATCTTTGATTCAAATTGGGATAAATAGCGGCAAGTTATTTTTTACGTATTTTCTCGTAGATACCAATTAGTGTAATTTATTTGTGTCGCATTCCGTCGCATCTACCTCCCATTATTACGTTAAAACTTCATTTTGTATTTAATAATAATTAATAATTGTAGTTCCTGCGAATCGCAGAGGAACTATCAGTAGGCCTTAACAGTCCTGTCGAGGATAGTCCATTTGTATTATCTCCCCACATTCCAGACAGTGTTATTTTGCTGAGCGAAGCTCTTTTTTGCGACTCAAGGACGTTTTTTTTGCGTCTAGAACTTTTACGTGGTACCACTATTGCAGCCAAATTTGGTCAGGTTGTGGTAGACCTGAAGCTGCAGGTCAAGTGAGAGCTTATCCTCACACACTATCATTGCCATGGTATTTAACACAGGATGGCGGAAAAAAGGAAAAGCTTTTTATTTTTTGTGGAAGTTCGAACGAGAGTGCTATTGACAAGAGAAGTGCTAATTTTCTCCAGTGCTGTTTAACGTGCCGAAATAAGATTTCGATAAAAAAAGGTTAAAATTTAGATAAAATCAGATTTCTGAGCCAGATCTTCAATTGGTCAAATTGGCAACTTTTAAAACAATAAAACCTAAAAACAAAATGTTTCGGGTAAATTATTTTTCAATTTTGTGGTCTCTGCATAATAATTTTTTGATTCGACAGCAGTAAAATTATGAGATGAAATGTCAAATTTTGATCACTGGAATAATCAACCAGATTGCAAGTTTCCTCATTTTTCCAAACGCCGGACCAACAAATGTAGTGTAATTGTTAGCTTTAATATTCCAAACTTTGAAAAAACTAAACGATTTAAGAGGTGTTTTTTTTATTCAGAGCAATTTGGAAAATCAATGCAGTTTCCAAATTTTGCCATTTTTAGGTTTAATATGTAATATTTATATCCGTCATGCTATGATGAATAAAACCCGAACAAAAAACATAAAATCCGAATTTTTTCTGTCCAAAAAAAACGAATAAAAAACTTTCGTTCATCATTTGTCACGCATGTTTTCCTAATTTTCAAGAAACACATCTTCACGATCAATATTGAAACTTATTTTTCCGACTTTCGATACAAAAGTAACGGAATATTTGTGCTCGGGTGCATTTTTTTTTCTTCAGACAAATTTCGACTTTTTAACTAGCCATTTTTGACTGAAATTTGCTCGAAAGGTATTGTTGCCCTGAGCTTAAATTTGAAAAAATTTTTCACCTGTGATCATTTTTTGTAAAGTTATGGGGCGTTAAATATTGGCATTTCGGCCAATCTGGGACAATTAACGCGCGATATATTCCGCGGTTTTAACGCGTACGCGGAGATTTAATCCGTCTTAGAAATTGTTCCAAATTGGTTAAAAGAAGCTTATTTGCCATAATTGGTTTGTTTTAAGGAGCGAAACCTATCTTTTTCTATTATTCTTTTGTACTTTATATGGCGTGTGGGGGATGATTTTATAAAAAAAACTAAGATGTTTTAAAAAAAAAAATTTCGAATTTAAGAATTTATTTTTTCATTTTGTTTTATTTCATTAAATTTAAAGGTTATTACTGCTCCATAAACCTTAAAAAGCAGTCGGAACATTCAGGGCTTCTCATTGATACGAGCAGTTTTGTTATTTCGACTTTCGATACGAAAGTAACGGAATATTTGTGCTCGGGGTGGGTTTTTTCTTCAGACAAATTTCGACTTTTTAACTAGCCAATTTTGACAAAATTTTCTTATATCATTCGAAAGCTGTTGTTGTCTTGAGCTTAAGTTTAAAATGATATTTTGTTTGTGATCATTTTTTGTAAAGTTATGGGGTTTAAAGTTTGCCATTTTGGTCAATTTGGGACAATTAACGCGCGATATATTTCGCGCTATTAACGCGTAAGCGAGATTTAATCCGTCCAAGAAATCGGTCCAAATTGATTGAAAGAAGCTTATTTGCCATAACTAATTTGTTACAATGAGCGAAATCTCTTCTTTTGTACTTTATTTGGCGTGTGGGGGGATGATTTCATAAAAAAAATTTCAAATTTAAGAATTTTTTTTTTCATTTTATTTTATTGCATTTAATTTTTTTATGTTACTACTGCGCCATAAACCTTAAAAGGCAGTGGGAACATTCAGGGCTTTTCCCTGATACGAGCAGTTTTAGTTGTTTTGAATTCAATTTTACAATTGCTATAAAATGTTTATTAAAAGACATTTATGTTTAAGACAAAGCAGCTTTTTGGTAAAGCAAAAACGTCAACTGTCATCTGATATAACTAAGAAACAATAAAACTCGCATTTGAATTTTTGAATTTCATTTTAACTTTGAGTTTTATTTCTGATAGGAAACAAGTTAGACATATAAAAGATAAGACCTCAGCAATGAGTTTGCTGACTAATCCAATGAACAAAAGTTCATGAAGAAGCACTGCCGCAGTTTTTTGTCTCAATGTTCGCAGTTTATGAATTTAAGGCATGTACTTTTTAAAATTTAAGCCTAAAATTGTGTCAAAGATATTAGTTCACAGTTTGTCAAAGTTTGTTTAACTCGCTTAACTAATTTTTGATTACCATGATTATTTCTTCTGCAAACTTTTAAAACGACCAAATCAAGAGCAGATTTAGGAAATGCAAAAAGGAATTATAATTTTCAAACAAAGTGTGTCAACATTTCGGACGTTTTCACATTAAGCTCTCCCAAAACCTTTGAATCAACATAGTTTGAAATTTGAAATTATTTACAAAAACGTGCCAAAAGCGCTAAAAATTTTTGTTGCTGAATGAGCCGGATTAAAACTTTGCAGGGTTGGTTGGCCGGTCGGCCAATAATGGTTCAGGAAGAAGTTACAACGGTTGAAGGAGGATTGTTCCATTTCTCAAAGAAAGTGTGGAATGTTTATGCTTGTGGTGATTTTTTTATTCAGTCAATATACGACTTCTTAACTAAGCAATTTGTGGTATACCATTGACGAAAAGATTCGAGTTGATGACTGGAAGAAAAGCTGTAGGCACCCACTCCCCTCTCATTGAAAAAGCACTGAGTTGGAAACGCAGTTACAGACTTTTCAGATTCTGTTCCTCCAAAATAGTTATCTATAGAAGTGATGGAAATCATTCAAGCTCTCTTAAATTAATTTCCTTCTCCAATTTTTGTATTTGTCCAATTTCTACATCACTGATAAACTTTGATCAAGACTGCTTATATCCAGGAAAAGCATTTCTAAAATCATCCATCTACACACTGGATAAAGTACAAACTGAACTGGACGTATAGGGACGAAGCGCTGAACGTTCCGACACAATTTTTTTAGTCTATTGAGAAGTGTTCACTTATAAGAAAAATAGATGCAATTTTCACAAAAAAAAAATTTTTTTTTTTTTGAAAATCACCCTTCCACACGCTATTGAACATACAAAGCGGTTTGTTTTGCAACAACAAAGTATTAAATAGACCAAACTAGCGGCCTCAATTCAATTTGGAACGATTTCTAAGACGGATATCGCGAACCATTTATCCCAATTTGGCAATCTCTAAAGGCCAATAACTTTACGAAAAAAATCACAGGCACAATATCTTTTTAAATTTGAGACTAGGATAACAAAACCTTCCGAATGATATTTAAATTGGCGTCAAAACTTATTAGCAAAAAAATTGAACTTTGTCTGGAGAAAAAAGCACCCCGAGCACAAAGATTCCATTTTCTTCAAAATTTGGAACAATAAAATTTGTTATCGTTCCTACTTTCGAAAAAAAATATGCTTGGCTGTTTTTTCCCATTCAGTCAATTTTTGACTTCAAAAAAACTTGTTTGACGGAATTTTTCATACCATCTGATAGATATTAATTTCCTGAGTTCAAATTTTACAAATAATTTCTATTGTGATCTTGATTACGAGGGTTTGAAAAATCTAATTGTTCCGACTTTCCAAGAAAACGGAATGATTATGCTTGGTGTAGTCTTTTATTCAGTCAATTATCAGCAATCGAAATAATAGTTTTCGACAAAAAAAATTATACTGCATTGAAGAATTCGACTCGTTAAAATCAAATGTAAAAAGATACTTCACCTCCGATCGTTTTTCCAAAGTTCTGAGACTTTGAAATTTGATAATCTGGCCTTGCTCTGGACTAATTTTTGCGCGTTTTGAAGAATTATTTCATAATGCTGAAAACTTAACGCAAAATATTTGTATGTTGCGAATTACCTTGCACAACAAAATCGCTCCAAATTGAAATAAATTGTCCGTTTTCTTCAAAAGTCAGAACAATGAGGCTAACTAATTAGTCATATTAATTCCGCATGACTCAATTTTTCCTATTTTTCCCAAAAACTAAACGATTTTGATTACGGGGCAGTCAGAACGTTCAGGGTTTTGCCCTGATATATGAGCACTCTTGTTTGGTCAATTAAGGACAATTAACGCGCGATACAA